GACTGGTGCAGTTCCCATACCACCCTGTGATGCAGCCTGTCAGCATGCTCTCAATGGTGCACCTATAAAAAGTTGGTGAGGATGCTGGTGTTTGTACCAAACTTCTTTAGTATCCTGATGCATGCTCAATAATCCAGGTAGAAAAATCCAAAAAAGTTCAATCTGGTCCTCTGGACATTCAAAAAAACAAAAAACAAAGCAAAAAAATCTAGAAACGTTTCGTCTCTCATCCGAGAGACTTCCTCAGTCTGAGGAGCTGTATTCAGCTCAGTCTCTTAAATAGCACCTTCTCAGAGTGGATCAACCAGTTTGCTGCTGACAACCAAAACCAGCTGATCACATGCTCAAGAAGGACCATCAGCCTAACAATGGATCATTAGCACACTGATGGCTGTTTACTGTTCACAGAGGGCTGAGTGATACTAGCAATCACAGCATTGTAAGAGGGGGACAGTTGAACCCGGAGGCCTCCACCCCTGTTTAATGATGGACGGTTTCTTTTCACAAAGATGGCCTCCTTTACTCCTCTCTCAAACCATCGTTCCTCTCTGTCCAGGATGTGAACATCTTCATCCCTGAAAGAGTGACCGCTGGCCTGGAGATGAGTGTAGACCGCAGAGTCCTGGCCTGATGATGTTGATCTTCTGTGCTGGGCCATCCTTTTGGCCAGTGGCTGTTTTGTTTCCCCGATGTAAGACTGATCACAGCCCTCCTGACACTGAACAGCATACACAACATTGCTCTGTTTGTGCCGGGGGACTGGATCTTTGGGATGAACCAGTCTTTGCCGTAATGTATTTTGGGGTTTAAAAGCCACTGGGACATTATGTTTAGAAAATAAACGTCTCAGTTTCTCTGATACTCCCTCAACATATGGAATGACCACTGGTCTGGGTCTGGGTTCCTCCTTTTCACCTGTTGGCTGACTGGAGTCCTGTTTGGGTTTCTTCTCTGCTTTCAGGAAGGCCCAGTTAGGATATCCACATTGCTCTAGAGCCTGTTTTGTGTAGGATTTCTCCTTCTGCCTGGCTCCTGAGCTAGTGGGGACGCTGTCTGCTCTGTGGTACAGAGTCCTGATGACTCCTAACTTGTGCTCCAAAGGGTGATGGGAGTCAAACTGCAAATACTGGTCTGTGTGGGTGGGTTTGCGGTACACCTCGGTTTGCAAATGTCCTCTATCAGAGACTGAGACCTCACAGTCCAAGAAAGCCAACCTGTCATTTTTTTCATCTTCTCGTGTGAACTTGATGTATTTATCCACAGAGTTGATGTGGTCAGTAAAATGTTGGACTTCCTGAGATTTAATTTTAACCCAGGTGTCGTCAACATACCTGAACCAATGACTTGGTGGTGTCCCTGAAAAGGACGTCAAGGCTCTCTTTTCTACCTCCTCCATGTACAGGTTGGCAACAATAGGAGAAACTGGAGACCCCATAGCACACCCATGTTTCTGCCTATAATATTGGTCCCCATATGTGAAGTAGGTTGACTGCAGGCACGGTTTCAAGAGTTGACACAGTTGTTCTGTAGAAAGTGTGGTCCTGCTGCTCAGAGTGGTGTCTGATTTTAATTTTAAACTGACCACCTCTACTGCATCATCAACAGGAATGCATGTAAAGAGTGATGTGACATCAAAAGAGACCATTGTTTCATCAGTCTCCATGATGACATCCCTCACCTTGTCCACAAAGTCCATGGTGTTCTGTATGTGGTGTTCTGAGCTGCCAACTAAAGGGATGAGTACAGACGCCAGATATTTGGAAACATTGTAAGTGACAGAGTTAATCATACTAACAATTGGTCTTAAAGGTACACCTTGTTTGTGGATTTTAGGTAAACCATACAGACTAGGTGTGGCCTCCCCTGGGTACAGTCTGTGGTACAGAAAACGGTCAATAGCCTTGTCCTGCTCCAAAATTTTCAGGCAATCTATTAACTTTTTCTTGTAACCACTTCCTGGATCTCTTTTCAGAGGTTCATAAGTGTTTAAGTCACTAAGGAGTGTCATAACCTTCTCATGATAGTCTTTCTGGTTCAAAATCACTGTGCACCTTCCTTTGTCTGCTGGGAGAATGATGATGTTTTTGTCCTTGCTAAGAGTGGTGAGTGCATCTCTCTCCTCTCTACTGATGTTGGAAGGTGGTGGTTTGGCATTGCTTAGGCAGGATGAAACTTTGATTCTGAGCTGTTCTGCTTCACCCTCTTTCATTTTGTTGTTGCGGATGGATGATTCTGTGGCTGTGATCATCTCCACCAGAGGAATTCTACTTGGTGCAACCGCAAAGTTCAGTCCCCTGGCAAGAATCTCTGTCTCTGGCTGGGTGAGCTGTCTGTCAGATAAATTCTTCACCCACTTTTCTGTCTCCCTGACATGTAATTGACTACTGGAGTGTTGTCCTACACTGAATGTGTTGTTATTGGAATAGTGATGGTGTTGATGAGTTATTAGTACGTTAAACTTGTTTTGTTGTCGAGTCTTGGACTTGACATGCTGTGCTAAGCGTGCCTGATCTGTACAGTCCAACACTTGCTGAAGTGTGGTCTGATCTAGACACATAGTTAGTTTCTGTTTAATGTGCTCTTCTTTGGCCTTCAAGGCCTCAATAGTAAAATTGGTCTGTCTCACCCGTTCTTCTTTAGTCTTCTTAGGAAGTAGAGTCTTTGTCAGACTTTCTTGTATAAGTATAGTGTGTATATGACCTTAGTATAAGTACACAGTTCTTTCAAGTTCAAGGCAACTTTTGTCATTTCCAACACATGTGGTCATGAGATGGAACAAAATTATGTACACAGGGTCCCAGTTCCATCCCAAAATATCAAAAATATAAAGAGAAAAGTTATTCAGAATGCCTCTATTCCTTCAGAATGATGTTGGTCTTCATGGTGCTTCATTAAAGTGTACCGTTTGGCATTTGTTTTAATTAAAGTGGCATTACAGTGATTTCTGTATTTTTCACAGTGATTATTCTGGTTAGAGATTCATGAGTCTAACAGCCTCAGGGTAGAAGCTGTTCCTCAGTCTAGTGGTTCTACACTTCCACAACCTCCTGCCTGAGGGGAGTGGGGCAAAAAGTGTGTGTGCTGGATGAGTGGGCTACATTTTAGTGTACTGTTTGGAATTTGTTTAGTGTATATCTTAGATCCTTATATACTGTTTATTTTTATGCTTCAGCATAAGTTTGATCATATTCCTGTTCTTTTTCTGCTGCCGCTACTTGCATTTGATAATAAGTCTAAAATTCAGTGTAAATTAACACAAAACCAAACGTGGTAAAAAGTAACAAAAGAAGTTTGTCTGAATCACTATGAAATTTATTAGATTAAAGTTATTTGAATTATTTCAACTCACTTCTGTTTTAGCTGCATTTGGACTAGCTGTTAGCTCTGCAGGTGGTGCAGTTGGTAGAACTGCTGCCTCTCAGCAAGAAGGTTGCCATATTGAATCCCGGCCGGGGGCCTTTCTGGGTGGAGTTTGCATGTTCTCTCCGTGCATGCGTGGGTTTTCTCCTGGTACTCCAGTTTCCTCCCACAGACCAAAAACATGCATGTTAGACTGATTGGTAACTCTAATTGTCTCTAAGTGTGAGTGAGAGAGTGAATGGTTGTTTGACTCGTTTGTCTCTATGTGTCCCTGTGATGGACTGGAGACCTGTCCAGGGTGTCCCCTGCTTCTCACACAGTGACTGCTGGATATGGACACCAGTGACCCCTGAAAAGGAAGAAGCAGGTAAAGATAATGGATGGACGGATGGATGGATGGACAAATGGAAAGATGCATAGATGGATGGATGGATGGAAAGAAAGATGCATAGATGGATGGATGGATGGATGGATGGATGGATGGATGGATGGATGGAT